GGAGAGGTGGGCCTTAGACTATGGGACGAGAAAAGTCTACCCTGGGAGTTTGGTCTCAGAAACTGGTGATCCTAGTGCATGGGGATGGGGAAGGAGGTTAAGCCAGCCAAGCCACAGGGCCAGGCAGGAGGTTCTGCCAACAGCCACGTCCAGCGCCAGTTGGATGGCCTACTTACTTCTCTTCCATTTTAACCAACCCTTTGGAAAAATCTTATTCACTTCATAGCCTGGTGTTCTCTTCCCTGCTGAAAGGGATCGAGAGGGAGGGGTTTATCATCTTTGGGCCTGAAGACCAAAGAGGAGAGGAGGATCCCTTCTCTTAAGGTTGGGGTGAAGATGGCAGACAGTACCCATCCCTAAGGACAACTGTGCCTAGAAGACTCTGCCCTTTGAAGAGCAGCACTGTGGTGGCCTAACCAAAAGGTGGGTGGGTTTGACAGCTATTGGCCATCTTTGCAGAACCACCACCAAGAGAACCTCTCAGAAACAGCCAGAGATCATGCTTCTGGGGAGCTATCATATTTGAGTATTTGTATGGAAAACACTTTTTTAAAGGAAAAATATGAACTTTTGTCTTTATGTTTTATCTCCTTCCTTGAAAGAACTGATACATTCTTGTTGGTTAAAGCAATACTGTTTCCCAAAGCCTAGCTGCAAACTAGCAGGTTGCTCACTCTGTCTCCCCCTCAAGTCTCTATTCCTTCGGACAGTTCTGAGAAGGGCAGGTTTCATTCTACCAGGAGAGCCACTGGTGTGCACCAGTATTCCTAGTTCTCCTCTCCTGGGCACATGAGGAAGCACACTTCCCTGTTTCAGTGAAGTGTGACTATGTGACTTTTTGGCCAATGAAATGTGAGTAGCAGCTTGGCCCCTGTAGCACAGTGGTTATGGCACCAGCCACAACCGGGCTGACGGGTTCAAACCCAACCTGGGCCAGCTCAACAACAATGACAACTGCAACTAAAGAATACCCAGGCATTGTGGTGGGTGCCTATAGTCCCAGCTATTTGGGAAGCTGAGGCAAAAGAATTGCTTAAGCCTAGGAGTTTGAAGTTGTTGTGAGCTATGATGCCACAGCACTCTACCAAGGGTGACATAGTGAGACTCTGTCTCAAAAAAGAAAGAAAGAAAAAGAAATGTGAGTGGCAATGTGTGTCACATCTGGGTGGAAGGAAGCATTTAAGAGTGGGGCATGGGCGGTGCCTGTGGCTCTGTGGGCAGGGTGCCAGCCCCATATACTGAGGGTTCAAACCCGGCCCTGGCCAATCTGCAACAACAACAAAAAATAGCCAGGCATTGTGGCGGGTGCCTACAGTCCCAGCTACTCGGGAGGCTGAAGCAAGAGAATCACTTAAGCCCAAGAGCTAGAGGTTGCTGTGAGCTGTGTGACACCATGGCACTCTACCAAGGGCCATAAAGTGAGACTCTGTCTCTACAAAAAAAAGAAAAGAGTGGTGCATGATTCTCCCAAACTCTCTTTCTCTCTTGCAACAAACCCTAGAGCCTCATGTTTGGATAACAACATCATAAGATGTTAAATCCTTTGTCAGCCTTGGTCAGTGAGTGGCTACAATGAGCAGAGCCCCCATAATGAACCTACATTGGACATGTACCATGAGCAAGAAATGAACTTTAGTAAGCCACTGACATTTACAGGTTGCTTGTTATCACAGCATAACATGGCCCATCCTGACTGTTATGCACAGTTTTGCTAGCAGAATTTATGGTTCCTATTTCTCAAGGTACTAACTAGCTAACGATGGGGTGAGAGACTAAATGAACTTGAAATGGGAATTCTTCACTTGCTGTTCTCTCATGAGAGCTCCTAACAGCCACAAATTCATGGGGAATTCATTCCAGGCAACTCTGGATCTGTTTGGCAGTAAGTTACTCCCACATTCTCAGAATTCTACTGGGCTGGGTAGTTCTATAAAAATCTGTCTCCCTGGAGGCTATTTTAGTGTTGATACTTGTTCAAAAACATTCAGCCAAGCAAATGTTCATTAAAAAGCTGGCCATCTAACCACCCAGGCAGAACTGGAGCAGCACTTTGAGATTGACTCTGATGAACTGGCTCCAAATGAGGAAGGCCATTCCTCTCAAGGCAGCACCTTGTTCTGCAGTAACCCAGGCTGCATGTCTGCTGTGGACTTCCATGGTTACTCAGACACAGAGATCTGGTCTCCAGGATTCTCATGATCCTCGCTCAGTTACCATGGCCACAACACACAGTTTGAGCAAATAACATTTCTGCCCTCATCTGCTTCTCACATTTGTAAAGTAAGACGTTCACAGAATCATTTCATTTTGAAACATTAAAATTAATCAACAAGTTTAGTTTAGAGTATCGTGACCAAACAAAGCCAAGCCCTGATCTAGGAATCTCATTTTCTACCTATAAGAAAAAGAATGACCGTTTAAAAACTCATTTTGACATCTGTTAAAATTTTAATATAGAGTATATTTCAAATAATAGCATTCCATCATTGATAAAGTCCCTGATTTTGATAATGGTATTGTGGATATCCTTGTTCTTAGGAAATACATACTGAAGTATTTAGGGGTGCAAGGTCATGATGTTTTCAACTAACAGTAAGAAATAATTATAATATGAAAAAAGGAGAGAACGCAAATATGAGAAAATGGGAAACCCTGGTGAATAGCCAACATGTTTATTCTATTCTTGCAAATCTTCTGTAGGTTCGAAATTTTTCAAAACAAAAAGGTTTTTAAAAATCATGCATACTCCAGATCAGCAGTTTCAATTTTTTTAAACTATAACCCACAATAAAATGTAAATTACACATAGCAACTTAGTGTGTGCGCGTGAACACACACACATATAATTTGAACAAATACATACAAATTAAATAAAAAGTATCACAAAACAATACTCTTATAATATTACATGTAAGGTTCTGTGACTTTCATATTCTTTTCTTTCTTTCTTTTCTTTTCTTTTTTTTTTTTTTTTTTGAGATGGAGTCTCACTATGTCACCCTTGGTAGAGTACCATGGCGTCATAGCTCACAGCAACCTCCAACTCCTGGGCTCAACTGATTTTCTTGCCTCAGCCTCTCGACCACCTGCTACAACCCCCAGCTTTTTTTTTTTTTTTTTTTGCAGTTTTTGGCCAGGGCTGGATTTGAACCCGCCACCTCCGGCATATGGGGCCAGCGCCCTACTCCTTTGAGCCACAGGTGCCGCCCACACCCAGCTATTTTTTAGAGATGGGGTTTTGTTCATGCTCAGGCTGGTCTCACAATCATGAGCTCAGGTAATCCACATGCGTTGGCCTCCCAAGGTGCTGGGATTATAGGCCTGAGCCACTGCACACGGTCTGTAACTTTTCTATTCTGTAATTTTCTTTTCAAATTCTGGTTTAAAAAAAATTGAAAACCCATTACATTGAGTTAATGACTACTAATGGTTGAAACATATTTGAACACTCCTGCCCTGGGTGGTACTGCTAGCAACATTTCTAATACTTAGCATTATATAGAGACACAGGACTGTCGCCATGAAGAACTGACAGCTTGGTTGGTGCACCCTGAATCCATGTGGCTTTTGAAAACCCGTCTTTCCGCATACAGAAAGGAACTTAGGACATTAAGAAGATTACAGATTTTCAGAATGTTGACAAAGGCAGCAATCATTGTACAGGGTGTAGAGAATAGTTTGAGCAGGTATGTAGCAGACATATGGCACTTTTCTTGACTTGACTGCCTCATAGTCCATCAGGAATCTATGCCTGCTGTGACTAGCTCAGGATGGCTCTCCTGCATGGAAGGATGGCGGAGCCAGCCTTTGGGATGCAACCTGCAAAGCCTACCCTGGCAGCCTGGGCCAAATGAGCTGTTGATCCCGAGGCCAACAAAACAGTCACCCTCCATTCATTTCCACTGCAACTCTGAGAAAAGTGGGTTAGGTCTCCTGGGTAGGATTTGGTGGCCCTGCCCTCAGGCATAGCACACCCAGAAGCCATGCACACTCTGGCAGTCAGGCCTAGAGGCATATTGTTGGCCAACTCCCAACCTAAGAAATCTCTAAATCTCCTTTCCTAGCTACTGGCTGCCTCCTTCTCTCTTGGCCATTGGTCAGCCCCAAAGTGAGTGAGCAGTCCATAATAATTTCCACGCCTAAATCCAAGCTGGCAACTCCCTGCTGGGCTAACAGTGTCTCTGTGTCTTCCGGATACTCTTTTCACAAAATGCTAAGAAAAAAGGATTTTCTGGCCTCCACAGAGATGCATAACCTGTGTTAGCATATGAAAGACTCTGAGAAGTCTAGCAGGAGAGAAACTGGTTTAATCTTTTTTTTTTTAATCTTAGGGTTTTGCAAATGTATTTGCCCACAAACACAGCTCCTCTCTTTTTTCCCTACCCTGCCCTGAAGTTCCTTGGTGGCCAAGACCACCCTGGGAATAAATGTGGAGTAAATAAAATAGATCCTTGTTTTAAATACTTCCTAACACATCTCAAATCCCAGGAACCACTGCCACCCCCTTGGGTCTAAGTATCTCTACCATATCCCTTCTCTCCTGTTCTGTCCACCTAGTGTCCCCAGGCCCCTGGAGAGGAAGAAGATGATTGTGGTAGAAAACAAAGGGCTTGGGTTTAATGGGTTGGCACAGTTTTTAGTACTTAGCTAGGGAAATAACTCTCTAATTCAGGCATTGCAGGCACTGTAGCCTGGAAGATGGCGGAAAGGGAGGGGTGAAAAAAGAGCTTCTGATTCTCAGCCTGCCCACCTGAGGGCCAATGTGCATTCTTGCTTTTTTCCCAAAGGATGCCCATGTGACAAGAGCACAAGTGACATTTCCCAGTGTTCACCTGCGGCCATCTCTGGAGGCAAACTGTTCCTTCACCCTCCACTGGGGTTTCCACCGCAGTCCCCATCCTGTGCACCTCTCCCCTTACTACGGACACCTCCAAGCATAGTTGACCAAATTTTTCCCCTCTGGCCAAGACAATTTGGGCTACCCCAGTGTGGCAGCAGGTTCAGTTCATCTGCAGGCCTAATACTCCGTGTGGGCCACATGGAGCAGAAAACAAGAGGCCAGGAGAATCGTGGACTTGCAGCCCAAGCCTCCCATCCCACTGGAAGGCAGGCCACGGGGCAGGGAGGCATTGGCCAGCTCCCCAGTGGTGTTGGCCACCTCCTCCACAGGGGCCCTTGGAGCCAACAGCTTGGAAAGGAGGCTGCTGAACCTGCTCATGGTGGTAACCTCTGGCTCTGAGGATGGGCCTGGACTGGACACAGTGAAGTTCAGCTCCTCGGGGTCCACACAGAGGCCATCAGAGGAGCGCCCAAAGGAGACGTGGCTGAGGTCCAGGCCTGCCACAGAGCCCGGGGAGGCACACGGCACGTCGGTGACACGCCCGGAGCCCTCCATCCAGTCCTGCAGCCACTCTAGGCGGCAGTCGCAGCACCAGGGGTTGCGGAAGAGGAAGAGGCGGCCCAGAAAGAAGCCGGGCTGGAAAGCGGCCCAGGCGAGCACAGAGAGGTGGTTGCTATTGAGGTGCAAAGCGAGGAGGCCTGAGAGGTTCTGGAAGGCACCCTCCTCCACGAAGGCGATGCTGTTGCGGTCCAGGTAGAGCAGCTCGAGCTCGGCCAGGTCGGTAAACCAGGCGCTCGCCACGTGGCCCAGCGCGTTGCCGCCCAGGTTGAGAGTGCGCAGGCGGCGCAGGCCGCGGAAGGCGTCGGCCGGCAACTCGGCCAGCAAGTTGTCATTGAGCAGCAGGTGCTCCAGGAGGCCGCAGTCGCTGAAGGCGCCGGCGTGCACCGCGCGGACGCGGTTGGCCTGCAGGCTGAGCGAGCGCAGGCGCCGCAAGCCCTGCAACGAGCTGGAGGCCACCGCCTCAATGCGGCTGCGCTCCAGGTGCGCGTGCGTCAGGTTGGCCAGGCCGCGCAGCGCGCCCGGCACTCGGCGGAACAAATTGTCGAAGGCGGAGAGCTCGCGCAGGGCCGGAAGCTCGGCCAGCAGGCGCTCGGGCACGCTGAAGAGGCGGCAGGCAGCCAGGTCGAGGCGGCGCAGGCGGCCGAGCGCCACGAAGGTGCGTGCGTGCAGGTAGCGCAGGTCGCCATTGTACGCCAGGCGCAGCTCGGCCAGGCGCGGCAGGCCCTTGAAGGCTCCGGGCGTGATGAAAGATAGGTTGTTGTGGCGCAGCGACAGGCGACGCAGCGACGGCAGCGTGCCGAAGGCCCGCTCACCCAGGAAGCGCAGTCCATTCCGGTCCAGGTCGATGGACACCGCCTCACACGGGAACTCGGCGGGCACCTGTGGGAGGCCGGCGCGGTCACAGCGCACCGAGCAGCCGCGCTCCACACTGCTACAGGCGCAGGCGGCTGGGCAGGAGCGCGCGCAGGCTCTCGCAGCCCCGGTGCTGGGCAGGCAGAGGACCGCCGCTGAGGGTTAGGGGTTGGAAGTCCGGAAGGAAGAGAAAAGACACAAAAAGGAGCAACAGTCAGCCAAAGGTCGCCCCAGATTAAATCCTGCTCTCCACCAACTTGTCCTGCGTCCTGCAGATGGCCTCTTCCCACCTCCCGGGCCTCACATGAGTTTTTCCACCTACGAGGCTTTCCACTTACCCTCATCAGCAAAACCCAACCATAAGCCCTGCATCTGAACTCCATCCACTGTTTGTCCTGTGTTCCTAAGAATGCCGCCTAGACAGTTTGTTGTTTGAATGCACAGGGGAATCTGGGAGGCTCTCATCGTGACTTCTAGGCCACTCTAGGCCCAATACAGTAGCCACTTGCAAAATGGGCTAGTAAGCGTTTTGTTTGTTTGTTTTGAGACAGAGCCTCAAGCTGTCCCCCTGGGTAGAGTGCCGTGGCATCACAACTCACAGCAACCTCCAACTCCTGGCCTCAAGCGAGTCTCCTGCCTCTGCCTCCCAAGTAGCTGGGACCACAGGCACTCGCCACAACGCCCGCCTATTTTTTGGTTGCAGCCGGCATTGTTGTTTGGCGGGTCCGGGCTGGATTCAAACCCGCCAACTTAGGTGTATGTGGCTGAAACCTTAGACACTTGAGCCACAGGCGCCCATCCGGCTAGTAAGCGTTTGAAATGTGGCCAGCTCTAATTAAGATGTGCTATAAGTATAGAACACACCCAGCGAAAAATAAGAATGAAGACAAAAATTAACCAAGTGTGGTGGCGTGTGCCTATAGTCTCAGCTACTTTGGAGGCTGAGGTGGGAGGATCTGTTGAGCCCAGGAGTTTTTTGGTTTTTTTTTTTTTTTTTT